CGATTCTGTTCAACCTCAGCCCTCAAGGAAGGGAAAACTCAGCCCGCAGCTGAGGTACTGCAGTGGGCTGCTGAAGGACATGTTATCAAAGAAACATGCTGCGTACGCATGGCCTTTCTACACACCCGTGGATGCAGCTGCACTCGGACTTCATGACTATCACGATATCATCAAGTGTCCTATGGACCTCAGCACCATCAAGGTGACTTTGAATGCGTGAAAGTGTGCTCGCAGTACTATAACAGTAATCTTTCTTTTTACTAAACATACCATGGTGAAACGATAAAACACAGAAGGGAGAATGGGGAAGGATTTTAAATGTGAATGTAAAATGCAGTGGGAAAAAAAAAAACTTCTATTAAAATCTAATAAAAATGTCCATTTCCTGTTTTTTACAATCAGAGGAAGATGGACTGTCGTGAGTACAGAGATGCTCAACAGTTTGCCAGTGATGTAAGACTGATGTTCTCCAACTGCTACAAGTACAATCCACCTGATCACGATGTTGTGGGGATGGCACGGAAACTACAGGTGAGCAGCAGTTACACGGACCAGGCGCCCTCACACAGGCTTCTTCAGTTATATTTGCTACTTTATTACTCACCTTCCTCCTTTCTTACCATTTAACTTTTTATTTATTTTTTCCCCCCATGCCTCAGGATGTCTTTGAGTTCCGTTTCGCCAAGATGCCAGATGAACCACACATGGAGCACACAGCCATGTCCATGAGTGGGCATCAGACATCCTCTTCATCATCTTCCTCCTCCTCATCCTCCTCATCTTCCTCCACCTCTGAGAGTGAGCCTAGCAGCGAGAGTGAGGAGAGTGAGAGCAGCCCAAGCTCAGACAGCGAGGAGGAGCGAGCACATCGCTTGGCTGAATTACAGGACCAGGTGTGCACACAAGTAAGATATTGAGTAGCTACTATTGAGGTATTGGAGGGTGTTTGTTGCATCAAACTAAACGTGGAAACAAAAACGTCTTTAATTTGTATATTTTTCTCAGCTCCGAGCCGTGCACGAGCAGCTAGCTGCTCTCTCCCAGGGCCCCATCGTCAAGCCCAAGAAGAAAAAGGAGAAAAAAGACAAAAAGGAGAAGAAGAAAAAGAAAAAGCTGGAGAAGCGAAATCGAGGAGTCCGAAGCAGAGCAGGCTCTGAGGAATGGAAGATGCCCAGCAAGTTGAAGAGCAAATCTGTCAAAGCAGGTGGCTCCCAGGCCAAGAAAAGCCAGGGGAAGAAGAGTAACAAGAACAGCAAGTTAGTATAAATGAACCACCACACCAGTTTTTTCTTCTTTTTTTTTAAACTTGATCTCATCTTCATCATCATCATCCTTCCTTTTTGGGGTTTAGTGAAACAAATAATTATACTGTTCAACCAGTTAAATGTTTTGAATGCAAAACAGCTGATAGCTGTGCTCTTCTGTTATTTCAGGACTTCAAAGAAGCCTTTCTACCCTCCACTTGCCACTTCCATGTTACCACACTATGACTCGGAGGAAGAGGAAGAGATCGTGCCCATGTCATACGATGAGAAGCGCCAGCTAAGCCTCGACATCAACAAGTTACCAGGCGAGAAGCTGGGTCGTGTGGTCCACATCATACAGTCCAGGGAGCCGTCACTGAGGGACACCAACCCTGAGGAGATTGAGATTGACTTTGAAACACTCAAACCATCCACACTGAAAGAGCTCGAGCGCTACGTGATGACATGTCTGAGGAAGAAGCCCCGTAAGCCGTATGCTGAACAAGGTAGATAAAATGACCACCAAGACAACGCCAGCAT